CTGGATGCTGCAGGAAAAAAAAAAAATAATCCACCAAGGTTCAAACGCCACAGGTTCCTTTTAAATTAACTAAACRTGGCTGACTGAAGTAACCACCCCCAAACACTTGCAGGGATAAACAGCTCCTCTGATTGCTCTGACAGGAAGCATTTCCACCCTTGCATGTGCAGGGGATGTACATAACATAAGAAACCTTACTAAGAGGAAAAGCACGAGCTTGGGAAAACACAGCAACAAGTCAACAACATCTTTAAATGAGTAATAAGTCAAATATTTACTCCCACAACACTTCAGGCAAAGAATCCTGCGCCTCAGCTTTCACACAAGCATGGACAGCCTGTGGAGAAACATCTCGTACTTTTGTGGCTAGAAAAATCACCGGGTCCAGAGCTGTGCTTGGGAAGTTTATTCCCAGCCCTTGGAGGAGTTTGTTCTTCCTTCACACCATTTATCCTGGCACACTCCATGCTGTCCTCACACCCCAGCCAGTCCAGAAGCTCGCCCATGCCAAGCTGGGTGTGATGTCCCCTGCTCTGGGRGTCCCTGCAGGTCACACTGGAGAATAAATGGCAAAGTTGAGTCCAGGGGATCTTTTCCTTGCTGTTCATTAACTGGCAGACCAAGGCCAAGATTTGCAATTTTTTGGGGTCCCCTTTTCAGGGCTGTCGGTGCAGGTGTATTGCACTCAMGTCCTGCAGGATTGCAAACCACCAGAGTGCTCCAACAGCCAAAACATTGGTRGGTTTTAAAGAGAATTAYTCAAAATGTAACAACCTTGGAAAYCTGAAGAAAAAATGGGTTTTTCTTCCCTGCTCAAAGASATGGTGGAGGACAGCCCCGTGTCTCAGATGTGCCCAGGAGCCCCAGGGCTGCAGGAAGGGAGRGGAGGGGGTGTTTAAAGAAAAGCCCTGTGCTGGGGGGAGCTGTGAGGGGACACAGTGATGGGACAATGGYGCCTCTCATCTGCCTTTCAGAAGATTTCTTCAGAAACGTTGTGCATTTTGTGATCAAGGCAGGAGGAAAAAGTGTCCAAGTCCAGGCTGGACAGGGCTTGGAGCACCCTTTGACAGTGGGAGGTGTCCCTGCCCACAGCAGGGGTGGAATGGGACGAGCTSTRAGGTCCCTTCCAACACAAYCATTCTGTGATTCYGTGACTCTAAATGACATTTGAGCTCCCATATCCTCAGCCCCCTGCTGCCTTGCTGCTGGCTGGGGCTGGGGCTGCACATCCCTGCAGCCACCACCCAGCCAGGCTGTGACACAGGGACTGTCCCCATCTCACCTGGACACACAAAAGGCGCTTCAATGAGGCTTGGAAAGCRTCTCCTGCAGCAGGCAAGGARTATCCCCTACTCGGCCAGCAGAAGRCAATTTCAGGGGTAGACCTGACAATTTCAAGGAGATCTTGGGTGCTTCAGACCTGTGCTTTCTTTCACAGTCTTTCGGTTTACATTATTTTTCGTTATTTTCACATTGTTCCACAACATGTCACAACATCAGACGGATTCATTACAACACAAACAGGAGACACTTTGATGTAGGGAAAAAAGATGTTTTAATGGGTGCTAAGTAGCAACTGCCCTTGGGGGTTTAAAAATAAAAATAGAAGCAGCACAAAATAATATTTTAACCCTTGTATCCCAGGATCACCAAAGTATAGAATGCAATGCTGCACACAGAATAGTCCAGGCAATAATTTTATTTTTGCAATCATTCTGAAAACAGAATTTTGAATTCTCATAAGTTTTTTGGTGAGTTTTCTACAGCTTCTTTGGAAAAGAGAAAGCTATAAATAAAAAAAATATAAACTTTGCCAGGAGTGTTTTCAAAAGGGATTGTGAAAATGTGAGGTTTTGTCTCAGGACACCTCTGCAGAGAATATGCAAAGGCATCTTCCAGCCTTCCTGATGTGTCACCTGCCTCCACCAGTGCCAAACAGAGCTGGTCAGAACACGGTGATTTGGGCTTTTTGTGGAAAATGGCACAAAATGCAAAAGCCCACACCCCCCAGGTGTTCTGCTCTTCACCAGCAAAACTCAGGCATTTTTAAATTTTTTTCACAGAGGAATATGAAGGCATTTCAGTAAATATTGCAAAAAACTCATTTTTCAGTGAAGCAATTTCCTATCCAGAGCCCAAAGACAGCTGAGACGCTCCAGGTGATTTGAATTTGTGACCTGTGGGGTCTCAGGTGTCCTGAGCAGATGGAGCAGCCCAGAGAGCTCCCTCTTGTATTGCTGGGTTCTCCTGAGAGACTTTTCATGTTTCAGTCCTTGTCCTTGGCACAAGCCCCTTCCTCCACACCTTAGTCCAGTGCCAGGACATTCCCAGTGACACTGGGAGGACAGGGAACGTCCTTCCTTAGGCTCACAAAACCTGTCAGATTTACACAAGGAAAGTGTAAAGTAAATTGCCGTTATTTTGTTGGTGTTTTTTCTCGTTTTCCCGTTGCTCCCATCAGCCTCTGAGCTCCCAAGAGCTGAGCCGTKCCCTGTCCATGCACAGGGACAGAGAACAGCCCCTCCTGCCTCACACAGGGCTCCCCAGAAGCTCAGGACTCTTGGGCAATATCCCCAAGCAAGGGATATGCCCCCATCAATTCCCTTTGCTTTTAACCACACCCACTTTCCCCCAAATACCAACCTGTGTATGGAATCACTGGGGACAGAGCTGCTCTCATACCCTCATGTGAGGAAAATTAATCCACAAACACCAGAGGTTTATGTCCAAAAAGGAGACAGAGGAGTCCTGTAMCTTTATTCATGAAYAARGRAGAGYTCATGGGTAGTTCCCATGGGGTCTCTCAAATTGATAAAGGAYGCAGCCTCTTTTATCCCAATTTCCCARCCACGGTTCCCTCTCTCTTTCCCCATTGGCTGAGGGACTGGAGAGGTACAGGCTCCCCAAATGCCCARTGCACCCCCCCTTCTAATGTRCATCCCCCCTTTAATGTACATCTCTGCGTCTGTGCTCYTGTAGTTCATTAACACAGTCTGGGGTCAGTCAATCAGAGRMATTCCAATGGAAATACTTCCARTTGTTCCCTTCTGTCTCCCAAATGGGTCTTACCTCACCCCCAGAGTCACAGTTTGTTTGTAAAGACACTCCCTTCTCATTCCTTTCACTCGGATGAGGAGAGCCCTCAGTGACTCTGAAATGTGCCAAGGGATTCAGCTTCAGCACCAGCCTCATCTGCCCTCTTAGTTTTAGAGGTCAGTGCTCCCCTGCTCRCCTGGACACAGCCTGGGGTGAGGTGAGCAGCGTGGTTTTCCTCATGTGCAGCTGCTCCTGAGGAAAGGGTCGCACCTCTCAGATATCCGACCTCAAGARCAGCCTTGGAGCCCAGAAATATCCGTGTTTTTCCCAAATACCAGCTCGTGTGTCAAACCACTCAGGACAGAGCTGCTCTCACACACTCAGATGAGGAGAGGTCTGCACAGGCTGCTCACAGTGACTCTGAAACATGCAAAGGCCTTAAAACTCAGCAGCAYCAGGCACCCTCTGAGTACCAGCACAGCCTCCTCCTGCAGGGTCTGCTGCACCCTGAGCCAGCAGATGAGCCTTTAGCTGGAGATGGCACAATCTGCCRGGCTCCTTCCACCTCCTGAACCTCAGTTTGTCACCCACAGAGCCAACCTTGGCCCCTCATTCCTGTTCTGCAGTTTGTGCAGTGTAGAGAAAGCCAGTCCAATGGGATGTGCCCCTTCTCCCATGGGATATTCCCCTTTTCCCATGGGATATTCCTCTTCTCCCATGGGATATTCCCTTTCTCCCATGGGATATTCCTCTTCTCCCATGAGATATTCCCTTTCTCCCATGGGATATTCCTCTTCTCCCATGGGATATTTCCCTTCTCCCATGGGATATTCCCCTTTTCCCATGGGATATTCCCCTTCTCCCATGGAATATTCCCCTTTTCCCATGGGTTGCTGTCTCCTCTGTGTGTCACCCACTGGGAAAGCTCCATGTGGGGGCTGATATGACCGTGGTGACAGAGATGCTCTTGTGCCCAAGGRCACATTGTCCTGTTCTGGTGTCACAGGGCTTCCTGTCCACTCTCCAAAACCTGTGGGACAGCAGCACTGCTCGTGCTGCTGGGAAATGTCCCAAGTTGCTCCATAACGTGGAGCAGCTCAGGCAGACCACCCTGAAGGAGCCAGCTCTCCCTGGCTACTCCTTTGCACCCTGTGCGGGCAGAGCTGGGTTGTGATGAGGTGTGAAAGTTGAAATGCTCTTTGCAGGGGCTTCTTGCTTTCCCGCTGTGAAAAACGAGGTTCATTCTTTTGTTAAAATGTAAAAGTTTAATAAAAGACAATAGGGGACAAAGACAATAAAGACACAGCGTTGGGTGTTTGACTCTCAGCCAAAAAGCACACTTGCCATTGACGGAGACATCTGAAATACTTTTCGTATTGTATCAGTTTATTCATAGGCACTTATGTATATTCAAATATTTTTCTAAACTAGTTTGCATGTTCTAGGAGCTGTTTAGCCTGATTCTTCCTTGGTCTCGCTTTTTTAGAGCATGTGTATTTCGTAGCTGTGGTTTTGTCTGGTTTTGTTATTGTCTCTAGTTTGGGCTTTATTCTGTGTTTTTTTGGATGGCAGTTGTTGATAGTTGACATATCAATAGTAGGGGTTTTCATTGCATCGTTTTTTGGATGTTGTTTAATTAAGTAGGCTGTTCGGTTATTGTAAGTAAAACTATAAACTTTCTAAAATAACTCTATTAGTTATTTCACTACTATATCTTAATTTAGTTAGTAATATAAATAAAGGCATTAGTTATTGTTGTATAACTATATCTTTACAACAAGGCTATTTCTGTAAGAATTAAAACCATACACACAACATCTATTTTAATATTTGCAAAATGCCAACACTATAATGTGTATTTATCACACTGCTCAGCAGAGAGGGCACACAGAGCCTGCCCCAAGATTATTTTGTTCAAAACACTGCCTTGCTGACCAGAAACCTCTGTCTTTGCTTCCTTGCAGAGACCTGAGCATGAATAACATCAGCTGGCTGCAGCCACGCGCGCTCCGACACCTGCGGTTCCTGGAGGAGCTGTGAGTACGGGGCACGGGCGGGGGGCTCGGGGGGCACTGCCCGGGGTCCTGGGGCACCACGGCCTCAGTGCTGCCCCTGCAGCTGCAGGGAAGTGATGCCTRAAACAGGGCTCACYTGAAACAGAGGSCAAAGTTAAGAGAATAAAAGCAGACAAATTTAATCCAGGCCTGATGGTGCATTCAGGGCAGACAAAGCCTCCTCATAAGGCCACWCCCAAAATTGATGGCAAGATCTTCACCTTTTATAAGTTCTGTCTCATTAACGTATCAGGCCCCAATTCTCCAATGACACCTTCTGGTGATGATATCAATCCCCCAAAACTTGCTCCCCTAATTCTCTGTTGTTTCCATATTTTGGAGCTCTGAGGCAGTGAGGTGCCCTTGGATTTCAGGCCCAGAGAGGAATTGTTTTTCTAAAAATGGGAGAACAGGAGCTCAGTGCTGTGCCCTGGAGAAGTACGAGAATACAGACACATCAAAATAGAGAAGCTAAAAATCCTAAAGCATCAGAAGGAGGTTGCAGGCTGGGACTGGGGTTATTGCTGCTCCAGATGAAGGGTTTCACTGAGGTCCTCACCTCCAAGCTGAGATGGGGCATGAACCAAAAGCCAACATGAAAAAGGACCTCATCTCCTGTGCACAAATCAACACCGTGCCCTGGAGCAGAGCCGGCAGAGAGCTTCACTCACCCTCCTGCAGACAGGGCTCCCCTCACAGCCTCCTGCAGSCCAGAGACACAGGAACTTGGATGGAGACCACTCTGGAAAAATGAAGCCCAAAAACTTTTCCCCAGAGGCTGAGGTGCCCCCCACTCACCGGTGTGCCCTGAGGTCAGAGCAGACACACTCAGGCACAGCAGCAATCCCAGTGCTGGCCATCACCATGTGGCTATGTGTCAGTGGAGGAGCGGCCCCACTTCTGACAGGGTGAAAATTACCCAACAGCACAAGAAACCACTGGAATCCTTTGTGAGCCCCAAAAATGGGAGCCGAAGGGGCAGAATGTTGAGGTTGACCATTTCTGCATGAGTAAATTGCACCTGCATGGTCTCACTCCACTTGACCATGAGAAATACCTCCAGGTGTTATTCTCATGCTGTTGGCACTTTCAACGCAACACCTTGGGTTGGAAAACACAGTTTCTCCAAAACACTGTTATTGCATGGCGTGAAATCCCAATATTAATGCTGCATTTGGTGTGTGCTGTAAACTTACTGGGGTGGTAACAGTTACTGCAACTTCACCTGCCTGGATGAAACACTTTCACTTCACTGCATCAGATCTTGCCGCCGCCACAAGGCACAACCCTGGCATTTCAAAAACGGTGTTTTCCAAAATGTCAGAATCACAGACAACACCCTCACTCCCTGTGAGGGTGGGGAGGCCCTGGCACAGGGTGCCCAGTGAAGTTTGGCTGCCCCTGGATCCCTGGAAGTGTCCAAGGCCAGGCTGGACAGGGTTTGGAGTAACCTGGGACAGTGGAAGGTGTCCGTGCCCAAGTCAGGGGTGGAATGAGATGATCTTTAAGGTCCCTCCAAATCCTAATCATTGCATGAATCTGAGATTTTCTACTGTAGGTTTTTTACTACAAATGGTAGTGCAGCTGACCACCATTTGTGTGTATTTTAAATTATTACAGTTGTAAGGACCCCAGTCACCCAAGCCCTCCTCCCCAGCAGGCATTTACAGCCTGAGAATGAGGAACTTTTAATCCTGTTTTGGTTCTGGAGCCAGAGCTGCCCACAGAAGGTGGGTTCTTCACCACTTTGCATCCATCTTGCAGCCTTTCTCTTTCCATTTTCTCAGCATCCATGTCCAAGTGTGGACACCCTGCACCTTCACCGTGGGCAGTGAGGCTTTCCACACTCCCAGAGCAGCCTCTGCTTTGTACAATTAGCAGTTGTCTTGCTGCAAGCAGCCGTGTCCTGGTTACATCATGCACAAACAGAGCAGTCTCAACCGGCAGTGAATAAATATTCATGGGTTCCAAAAGCGCCAGCTTCCCACAGCCAAAAATAATTATGAATGAAACAGGCGAAGGGGGAAAATTTAAAGAGGAAAATGTGAAAAAAAATAGTTGGAAGTTGTTAGATAACATTTTATTAGAGGTTCTAAATGCCACAAGTCCTCCTTTGGAAAGGAGTAACATCACAGTTTGGGGAAGAAATGCAAACTGCAGCATCATATATCAGTGCATCAAGTGCCTGCTTGAATTTGATAGCAGTGAGATAGTAATCCTGTTTATGGAAATGAAGTAATTTATGTGAAATCAAGCAAGGATTTTATATATTACAGGGAATTAAAAGTGATTTTTTAAACAACAGCTAGACAGGGACAGTTTGTACAGCACTCACAGGCCTGTCATCGACCAGTAATGCAACTTGCCKGGCATTTCCCCTGCTCTTTTCATTTATATCCTCACCAAATTTTCATCCCACAACATTACATCAGGACCATGACATTCAGGCTGGGATCACCCTCTGTGCCAGGGCACGCATAGGAACCGAGCAAACAAACCCTGCCTGTTTAACATCCTCCAGGGAAGTTTGTTCAGGTTTCACAGCTCAGATCCCTGCTGATTTCATCGGCCTGGGACACATTCCCAGGGTCTGCCAGGGTGACACGTAGCACACGAGAGCAAACCCTTTGTCTTCATCCCCATGGCACAACTGCCTGTGCTGGGAAACACCAAGAGCAGAAACCCCCGTGAGCAGTGAGGGACGGTCCAGGCATCCCAAATCCAGGCATCCCAAATCCAAGTATCCCAAATCCAGGCATCCCAAATCCAGGTGTCCTAAACCCAGGTATCCCAAATCCAGGTATCCCAAATCCAGGTGTCCCCAATCCAGGTATCCCAAATCCAGGTGTCCTAAACCCAGGTATCCCAAATCCAGGTATCCCAAATCCAGGTGTCCCCAATCCAGGTATCCCAAACCCATTCATCCCAAACCCAGCTGTCCCAAACCCAGGCAACCCAAATTCAGGTATCCCAAACCCATCCCTGGGGATTTTGGGGGATGTTTCAGCCCCAGTCTGCCTCCTACACAGAATCACAAAGTCACAGAATATYCTGAGCTGGAAGGGACCCACAAGGAYCATCRAGTCCCARTCCCAGCCCAGCATAGCCCCATCCCCAAGAGTCACACCTTGGTGCCAGGCTCATTGTCCAAATGTTTTTTGGTCTCTGTCAGGCTTGGGGCCATGACCAATTCCCTCCCCTGACAAAACACCAGGTCAATCCCTGTCACTGGTCACAGAGGGAAGAGAGCAGTGCCTGCCTGTCACCTTCCTCTCCTGGGGCTGAGCAGTCCCAGTGCCCTCAGCTGCTCCTCRAGGCCCTTCACCAGTTTTATTGCCCTCCTTTGGATGCTCTCTGATAGTTTAATATCTGCACCCTTATTACATGCCCTATTACATGCTTGATAAACCAGCCTGGAGCAGCTGAAGACAAAATTTATGAAATTCTGTTCAAGGTGAACCAAAGCTGGTGTTCTGGGACTTTGGGTAACCCCAAAAATTTCTTTTAACCTGAGAGAGAAAGGTTACTCCTTAACATTTACTCTTTCACTTCAGGTAAAGCCCAAAAAGAAAATGGTATTTCAAACTGTATATGCTTTATTGCCAAGACTAAAAAAAATGGTGCTTGAAGCTTATGAAAAAAATCAGAGGTTCCTCAGCAATAAATTTGCYAAATTCAACCCAGTCTTTCAAATCTCCTTTTCAAGATCCTATGAAAACTCTTAGATTTTAGGGATGCTTTAAMTGTGATCTAATGCTCAGGAACACCCCAGGAATTCCTGACACCCTTGATCTATAACCCTTATCTTCTTCAACAGGCAGAGAAAGCCCAGGTTCCTCTGCTCCTGCTCTCCTCCTGCTCCTTCCCATAGCTGTGGGAGATGTCTGATGGTTGGGACTGGATGATCTTTGAGGTCCATTCTAACCCCTTAGCATTCTGTGATGTTCTGATTCTCTCTCCTGTCTCGTCAGATTCAGYCCCAGTAGCTCAGGGTCCCGTGGAGGAGAGCTGGTGTTCCACACCTTTCACAATCCCTCCTCTGTCTGCTCCTCTGTTTTAGCATCCTCTTGGGGGAAGTTCAGCTTCAGGGGAAGCTCCTCATGGAAGTGACGTTTCACAGATCACCTGGACTCRTGGCTGAGCCTGTGCATGTTGTCTGTTGACAACAAGGACACTGCCCTGGTTCATCCAGGACTTTCTGTCCCCTGGCTGGCACCAGTCCCTGGAAGAGGCTGGTGCTGCTCATCCATTCAGCGAGTGAGCAAAAGGAAAAGGAGTAATGGGAAGGGGGAAGAGGGCTGGAAAGGTGAGTGGGTGAAGCACACGTGTCCCAAGGACAGCAAGGACAGATGTGCCTGGTGTCACTGTGCCTGGTGTCACTGCTTGGAGCACTGCAAATCCAGGTGCTGGCTCCACTCGAGCCCTGAGCACACACCACACCGAGGGAGGCATGTGAGGGTCCTGGGGACAGCAAAGACATCCCCCAAACCACCCAGGATACCCAGCCAGGTGTCCCACGGGGCATTTCTGCACTGGCCCATCTCCCCTCTGCACAGCAAATGTGTCTCTCAAGGGATCGGGGGGTGCTGTGGTCAGGGCACAGATGGGGGCACAGGGGCTGCTCCAGCTCACTCCCTGTGTGCTCTGAGTAAAGTTATTTTTCCTCCTCTGCCCAGCAATGAGCGGATCCCCAGCAGTGTCCTGTGAGCTGTTTGTTGTCACTGTGAGCTGTTTGTTGTCACTGTGAGCTGTTTGTTGTCACTGTGAGCTTCTCAGGAAGGTGCTGTGAGTGCAGTTGGTTCTCATGCCCAGGGGATGCCCAGATTCTCCAGACTCAGCTGCCCTTGAAGGGGCGATGGGAGAGGGGTCCTTGGTGGCCATGCCCAGCCTGTGCCCCTCTGTCCTCTCCAGCYCGAGACAGCAGAGGCTGCATGAGCAGGCACAGCCCAGCCCAGGAACTCACCAGGCTCTCCCTGCAAAGA